ACAGTTGTTGTTAGCTGTCATGAAGTCATCGCCAACTCATGGTGACCTTATGCATAATTGAACCAAACACTGCCCAGTCCTGCACTATTTTTATGATGACGAGTATGCTTGTGTTTGAGTTCTTGCGTCAACCCATCTCACTGAGGATTTTGCTTACAATACAGTAGCCAGCTTTTTAAATTTAAATTAAATTATTCTTCATTACCTTTAAGAAATTCTCTCCTTACATCCCCACCTCCAAAATTGTTACTTGAGAATTGTAAAATACCTTCAAGTGGGTTCCATCTCTTAGAGACCCATAATAGGGTTTCCAAGACTTTAAGAGAGAAGAAAGTTTCATCTTTCTCCAGCGTTGAGGCTGGTTGGCTCTAACCATGACCTTGTGGTCGCTGTCCAGGCTTTATAGGCTGGAGCCACCACACTCCCCACTTGAGGATACTGTTTTACACCAAAGTCTCCTGGGGCCTATCCTGAGTCAATAAAGATAAGATGAATGAATAGATAATGAATGAATGAATGAATGAACGAATGAACCCTGCAGCTTAGCTTTAAAAGCCAGTCAAAAACACGGTTTAAGGGGTTTTCCTTAGTAGAGCAGTTTTGCTCACAATACTGTCTGCAACATGCAAAGCTTTTGCTCTCCAAAGGACCCACAGGGCACAAGTCTTGAATTAAAGGGGAGAAGTCTGGTCTGGGATCTGAGGCTGCTGTTGAACAGGCTTGCTCTGTAGAGCCCCAGGAAAGTCCCAAGAGGTGAGCAGCACTCCCACCTGCTCCCCAAACTACAACCTATGGAGAAAAACAGCCCTGGGGTGACCTGGGTCCACCGGAGCAGTTGGGGTGAGGTGTGGGAAAGCGGAGCAGCAAACCCAGAGGGGCGGGGCCGCGCGTTGTTTGCCTCTGTGTATGGCAACCGAAAATCACCGAGGCCAGCACTTTTCAGAGGCTGCCTCCGGCACTCCGCCCCCCGTTTTAATCTCTTAAACTGATTTGTCAGCAGCAGGAAGTGACATGACAGCTTTCCTCACAAAAGGGAAACTCCTCCGCGTAACCATAGGCACTCAAACTGTGTGATCACAGATTTATATAATCTTAAAGGTATATATAAGGAGCTCTGGTAGCGTAGTGGTTACGAATCAAGCTGCTAATCTCACGGTCAGCAGTTCGAAACTACCAGCTGTTCCGCAGGAGAAAGATGAGGCTTTCTGCTCTCGTAAACATTTACAGCCTCGGAAACCCTGTACGGGGTCGCTATGGGTTGGAACCGACTCCACAGCACATAACAACAACAAAACGGGTATATATACCATGATGTCATGCTCGGAGTACTAGGGAAGAAGGAGGCTGTGCGTCCCAGGCAAATTAGCTATAATTTGCAAAATTCCGAGGAAAAGGGGAGGATGTGGTGGAGGCATTTGGGATTGGCAGTATCCTGATGAAATAATGTGGTTTTGCAAACTACAAAAAAAGTATGGCTTGAAAACGGAGTCCTGGCGTGGTGCTGTGGATTAATGCGCTGGACTGCAAAATGGGTTTGAACCTCAAGGTCAGTGATTCAAGTTCACCAGATGCTTCTGGGAAACCCTATAGAAGGTCGCTATGGGTTGGAACTGACTGAAGGCACTTTAACTACAGGCCTTGAAAAGGAGCCCTCGTGGTGCCGTGGATTAGACACTGGGCTGCTAATGGAAAGGTTGGCGGTTCTAAACTACCAGCCACTCAATGGGAGAAAGATGAAATTGTCTGCTCCCTGGAGATTTAGTCTCAGAAACCCTCAGTAGGGCTGCTATGAGTCTAAATTGACTAGACATCAGTGGGTTTTGCTTATTTGTTTAGAGTTAGCAAAAGGAGCCTTGCTAGTGCAGTGGTTAAACACTTAATTACTAACACAGAGGTCAGTTGTTGGAACCGACCAGCAGTTCTGCAGGAGAAAAGACCTGTCCATGTACGTTCATAAAGATTGGTGGTGGTGGCAGCGGTGGTGTGCCCTGGAGTTGTTTCCCACTCAGAGTGACTCTGTACAGGGTTTCGTAGGCTGTAAATATTTACAGGAGCAGAAAGTCTATCTTTCTCCCATGGAACAGCTGGTAGTTTCAAACTGCCGACCTTGAGGTTAGCAGTCCGACTTGTAACCACTACACATCAGAGCTCCTTCCTTAAAAATTATAGACTAGGAAACCTTATAGGACAGTTCTAGTCTGTCCCATACCATCACAATGAATTTTAATTAACTAACTAGATGACTTTTGAATGGCACACAACCATCACCAGTGTTTCTGGGAGCACACAACCGGCACTGCAGTTAGAGAGCCAAAAGAAAACTTGCCAGTTAGATTCGACACAAACTGGTCATTTTACAATTGAGAAAAGGGAGAGCTGAGAATTGCCACTGGTCATTAAAACACAGAAATGGGACTCTAAACATTTTCCAAGGCTAGAGGCAGATTACCCAATAAGCAAGGTAAGCCTGAGTTTATATGTGCTTACTTACTAATCTGAAGTAAATGAAATTGCCAGGCACTTTACATTCATGAGCCTATCTGCTCTTCATAAATAAGGCAGGTTTTATGATCTTCATTTTGTAAATGAGGAAACTGAGGCCCCAAAGGGATAGTTTTTCCACTTAAAATTTTTAAGGTAAAACCATGGCAAAGTCTGGTTGACTCCAAAGCTCATCTTTTCCTCACTCCCTCAAACTGTCCTTCACACTTCAGTCCCTAGTCTTGGACCTGGGTTCCAATGTCTGCACTACCATTCAGTTGCTGTGTAACCTTAAGCATGTCACTTCACGTCAGTTTTCTCCTCTGTAAAATGGGGATAATAATTACTCCCACAGGGTTGCTATGGAGCATTAACTGTATAAAACACTTAGTACATATTGCTATTATGATCACATTATCAAATACTAAACAGTAGTTGTCTCTATTTTAATCTCCCATTGGAAACAAACACCTTAATGTAGTTTAAGCATCATGAGGCACCATTTTGTTTTTGTTTCCTAAGAAAAGCAGTCTCAGACCAAATTTGACATTTTCTAGAGCCTGAACACCATGAACTTGATCTTAAGGAAAAGGGATTTATGGTCCTGACTGGCCAAGGCTGGTGAGAGTTGGAGTTGCTTGCACTGGGAGAAGTCAGTGAATTGTTTTCACTGGCGGATCCCTCAGGCAGCTGCTGTATTTTTCCACTGCGTGGAACAGTGGATATTAACTTTGGTTCAGCTAGTGCTTGCCAAGCAGAAAGTGATGGCCGGAGCCCATGGGGGAAGTCAGTCATGGCACCTGCCACAGACTGGAAATTGCTGGTACATTTCCACCAAGAGGAATATTTGCAATAGTAAATTTCTAGGGTTTGATAAAAACATACTTGATTGTAATCAAAATCCCACAGAGGAAACAAGGTTGACAGCCCAGGGTAAGTTCTGAGAACACAGAGATCTTTCAGGCTCTGGGAGTCAGGTAGCAGATGGAACCAGTGGGGAAAGTTCAAGGTCACAGATTCTGTGTCAAAGCCTCCAACAATGTGGGCCAGAACCACAGCACAGGTCACCCCAGGATAGGTCAAGTTTCCTTTTCTGCCTCCTACAACACTTTGTCCAGCAACAAGCAAGTAGTTGAAGGAAGACCCAGTAACCCAAGAGCTGATGTCTGCTTTAAATTCAACACTTACACACTGGATGATGAGCTGGTAGTCAACTACACCTTCTCAGCTTTAGCCAGTTTTGCAAGAATAAAATATCATTGCCCTAGAGCAGGTCAGATTTCATGCCTCTATTCTTTAACAAAATTATGAAATCTAAGTGGCAAGTGGCCTAACGAAGGCATTGAGTATGCTCTGATATACCCAGAGATGTTGGCTGTTGTGGTTAACCTTTGAGTTAGTTCCAACTCATAGCAACCCTGTATAAAGTTTCCAAGGCTTTTTCTTAAAAACAAAAACCCTTGTGGTTCACAGTCCAGTTCTTTTCGTATGGCAGAGATGAAAACATTAATAATGGTCTAGAAGATAGGGGAGAGGGAGAATTCATACAATTTATCTGGTAGCGTAGTGGTTACGAATCGGGCTGCGAACCTTAAGGTCAGCGGTTCGAAACTACCAGCTGCTCCGCGGGAGAAAGATGAGGCTTTCTACTCCCGTAAAGATTTACACCCTCGGAAACCCTGTACCGGGTCGCTATGGGTTGGAACCGACTCGATGGCACACAACAACAACAATCTATATTGTATTTGTTTATAGTGCTTGAATTTTTCTAAACAATGTATTGTTTTTGCAAAAATAAAGGTCTTTTTAAGAGCAAAAAGAGAGCATGTGACAGAGGCAAGTAATAAAAAAGTAGATAGAATTAGGTAGGAAACAGAGCAGATGTATTATCCCAATTCTCCCACTTCTGCCACTTAGCTACACTGGACCTCAATATCTTAAAGGTCTTGCAGAGCTGTTTTTAAATATACATCGCCTTGCACAAAACATTGCTATTGGTCAAGTGTCATTGAGTCGGTTCTGACTCATCACGACCCTGTATAGGATTTTCAAGGAGCAGCTGGTGGTTTTGAAATGCCAACCTTGTGGTTCACAGTCCAGTGTGTTTTGGGGAAAGGGTTATCATCCTCACAATTTTAGCACAGCTCTAAGAAAGAAAGGCCTTTTTCTACTACCCTGAGAAAGGAATTAAATGGAAAAGGCAATCTAAATAAATGGCCATTTCTTCCTAGCTTTGGTCTGGAAGCACTTGGGCTCCCCATGTAACATGAAGTTATAGATGGCACTTGGATCCAAAACTAACAGTTCAGCTACAGCACCTGGTTCTTTATGACAGATATGACTTGCCTACCTCCCTTGTAATCCAACCATCTTTGGGGCCAACAGGTCATCAAAGGGTATGAGATCAGACCCCAACACACACATGTATTTTGGGTCCTTGTCCAAATTCTTCCACTTCACTGAAGGAAGGAGCTGAGGGGAGAGAGGGGTTGGATAGGGGCTGCCAAAGAAATAAAGCATTGAGATTTCAATAGAAATACTATAATTTATTCTGTTGTATAAAAAAGTCATCCTTATGTAATAAAATGTCTTCTTAGAAGAAGAAATATATTATTTCAGGTCATAAATAATCAGCAAACATACAACTGTTGGCAACTAAAAAACAAAACCAACACTGATGTTTTCCTTCCATCAGTGATGAAAACAAACCTGCTAGTATATATTTACAGGATATTACAGTACTCAAACACAAAAATTGAGGTATTTGGTTCTTCTAGGAGTAGACACTGACATTTGTGAAGGCAGACCATCTCCACAAAAATAAATAAGGTATATTCTCATATGTTTATGTGTCGTCAGGAATGGTAATACTGGTAGGTATGCCAAGCATGAAGTTTCTACAAAAAAAAAGAGGGGGGGCAGGGCAAGCAAAAAGAAACTGGCTCATACAGAGTTCTTTCTCTTCTGCCCCTTGTCAGAGGGACTTAGTGTGCCCAGTATCGATTGGCCCCGAATGTGCTGAGTTCAGCAGTTATTTTGACATGAAGTCAACACTAGGACTGTTAGGAACCCAGTGGAAGTCGAGTGAAATTAAATAAATAAGGACCAGCCCTCATGAGTTCCCCTCCCCAGAGTTATTGCATTTCTCTTCTCAAGAAAGAATCTGGAGTCCTGTGAAGATCAGATCACCTCCCGGAGCTTTTCAGCAGCTGGGAGAGGTTGTGATGGGACTGTGAAGGTAGCTCAATGCACTGTTCGCAGAGTGAACAGGGATGGAGACCGGGAAGTTGAAGACCGTGGTGGTAGAGGTGCCTCGGTCGAGCACAGCCAAAGCAGGGCTCCCAGCCTCGGCGGAGCAGTGTGGGGCTAGGACTTGAGACTCAAACTGCAACAGCTGGCCCATGAAGCTGAAGTTGGGGGAGATGATGCTTCTTCTCTGCTTCACAAACTCAAAGGCTTCATCCAGCTTGACTCGGTTAGTCCTCATGAGGTAAGCAAGGCAGATGGTGGCTGATCGAGAAATGCCTGCTTGGCAGTGGACAAACACTCTTCCTCCAGCATTCTTGATGGAATCTAGAAAACAAAAGGGCAGCTGGTTACTGAAGAGTTCAGAACAGTTCCAGACCCAGTCATGTTGTTGTTATGGAGTCAGTTCTGACTCATAGTGACCCTGTAGTGTTTCTGAGGCTGTAAATCTTTACGGGAGCAGAAAGCCTCATCATTCTCCCACGGAACTTCTGGTAGTTTCGAACTGCTGACCTGGCGGTTCACAGCTACCAGAACTCCTTAGGCCCAGTCATAGAGTGCCTAAAAAATTTTGTCCAGAGATGTAAAAAATGTTTGCATGCTACAATATAGATACTGTTTTTAGAGGTAATGTGGGCCATATACAAAGAAAAGTGAGGGATTGAACCTCAGACCCTTTGTTGGCAAGGCAAATTGATCTTGGACAAGTCAAAGAATCTTTCTGAGCCTCAGTGTGCTAATTTGTAAACTGGGATCTCAAAACCTTGTTTTGCAGGGATGATGCCCACACCAGATGGATATTTAGTATCTGGAGACAGGCTCAAAATAAGCTCATTCAAATCCTTGCCAGGAAGGCTGGGCTGAATGTCTGACATGGGAGAGAAGGCAGAAAAGTCCCAAGCATTCGTTCCATTTACCTATGAAGTCGATCGCCTCATTGAACCAGGAACTGATGTCTGCTTTGTGGTTGTCCTCCACAGGGATGCTCTTGTACTGGTAGTGACCCTCAAAATGGTTGGGACAATTGGCTGAAACGTTGATCAAGGCGGTGATGCCTAAGGCATCCAGCATGTCCTTGCGGGATGCATGATAGGCACTGCCCAGGTACAAGAAGGGCAGGATCTCTACTGGACCACCCTGAAATGCAGGAATATCCAACAGTTATCAAGCTTGTCCAAAGTCAGTGCCAGTGCCCACACCTGCAAAAACTCCCTGCTAGAAAAGTCCATTTCAAATGCTAGGTGAACTCAACAATGGTATTGGAGGATCAGCAAATAGGAGACAAAGCTCACTTGTCTCCAGTGCATACAAGTTCATTTCTATTGTGCTTGCAATTAGAAACTATTCCATCAGACCATGTAGTCATGAAACAAATAATATTCCTATGCCCCCACTCCCCTCCAGTTCAGATCACTTTCTGTATTTTCAGTAACACTGCTCTTTCAGGCCTTTGTCAGCTATGATTCTCCCCTCTGGCACAGGCCCCAACTAACCTGATCGTAGAGGGGAGTGCTGCAAGAACTACATCCTGATTCAGCGCTGTCAGGGACGCTAGTACTCAGAGGGAGGCTGAGCCCCATGGGGGTCGATTGTTTGCTGCACAGCTCCGGGCAGGACGCTGAAAAAGCTTCATATCCTCCTGAGAATACAAAGATATAATTTTTTTTATTAGTATCACTGGAAGAAGGCACCTTCATCCAACACCCCCACACCCGCCAAGGTTGGAAATTTTCACGGAGAGGCCTAAGTCTTTGTTTCTAGAGCCAAACAAAGCCATTGACAACTCCCCGGAGATACGACTCAAGCGCACTAGCGCTCCAGGTGGAGCAACCCCAAAGGAGCACTGGGTCAGGGGTCCCAGGCAAGGTCACAGGGGCTTACAGCCCACCCCAAAGCTTCCCCTAGGGCATACCTTTGAGGAAGAAGATTTGGGTAGTTCTTGCCTCTCGGCAGAGCGCGCCAGCAGCCAAGGCCAGGGTGCTGTCGCGCTTGGCACAGTCCAGGGCGGCACTGCGCTCGTCCAGCAACACCACGGCGTGGTAGGCGCCGGCCAGAAGGCGGCCGCGCAGCTCCGAATTGGGCACTATGTGCTCCAAGCCCATGGCGCCCTTGGCCCGGCGCCGTACAATGGTGCTAAAGCGCACGTTGACCGAGCCTACGATGTGGCCAGCGTTAAAAGCAAAGAAGGAGCGGCAGTCGAGCAGCAGGCAGTGAGCCGCGCGCTCCCGCAGCAGCGTCCGAAGGCTTCCGGCATCCAAGGAGCCCACTTCCATGACCATGGCCTGTCCCAGCGCCCCCAGTGTGCAGATCCTCCGGTGCTCTTTGTCCTTAGAAATAAGGGCGGGGTGGTGGGTGGCTTTCGAGGAAAAGCCCGACCCGGGGTCTACTTGCGTCGAAGCAAAAACTGTCTTTGTATTCAGCAAAGGAGCGTCGGGTTAGACTCTGGCCTTGTCGGTTTCCTGCAGCAGTCCCTTCTACCTTCCCGCCTACGTTACAACTTCAACCTCCGAGTCCTTCGCAGCGAGCTGAGCCCAAGGGAGCGGGCTTATAAGAGTCTCTCAGGGGCGGGACAGGGCGGGACGGGGCGGGCGCGCTGGGGGATGGGGTTTGTTTGTTTGAATGGTTATCACGTGGTTTTGCGGTGACGTCACCCTCCCGGCAGGGCCCGGCGCCGCTGGAGCCAAAGGCAAAGACGTCATCTGCCTCGGAGCGAAGTCCGCTCGCGGCACGCTGGCTCAGCCCAGTCCCCGCCCGCCTCCGGCCTGTGCCCGGCGTCTCCCCCGGGACCTGGGCCGCGCCGCTCTCCCGGTCCAGCAGGAGGAGAAAGACGCGCTGCCTGCCTAGAACGGACCTCCGGGAGGCAGCGACGTGGAGAGTGAGCAGAGTGCTTCCTTCCTCTCTCTCTGCTGTCCTCCCTCCCCTGGCACCGCGTCCTCCACACCGTCTGAGCTTTGCCTGTGCCTTTGCATACACGTGTGCCGCTTCTTGCATTTTATCGTCACTCATAGGCGGGGAGACTGAGGTCCCAAGGAGAAGCGCCACACAGCTAGGAAATCGTGCAACCTGGGGCCCAGAGGAACCTGAGATGAAGGCTGGAGATAAAAAAAAAAATAACTTTATCCACAGAAAGATTCCTACCAGGAATGATCGAAGTGAGGTGGAAGGAGTTAGGGAAATAGTTTGTTTCCCTAACTTTCTTTAATCCTGTTACTTTTAAAAAAATGACATTTAACAAGTGAAAAGCACTCTTCATTAACCCGCCACCAAGAATGTTATTCCTAGTCATATGGTCACTAGAATATTTTGAAGCGAGGGAGGCGAATCAAGAGGCTGAAATGTGAGTCGGGAATCGCAAGAACGCCCTATGAATTTTAGGGTTTGGCGTCTAGGACGGAGACGACACTCAGTGCGGCTCGACAGCGCCCCCAGGGGCCGAAAGGCGCGTTTCTCGTTGCGCTTGTTCAATGGTTGAGTTTCTCCTTCCCTTTATTCCACAAAAAAGGATTGATTAAGAGTGTGTACTGTGCTTTGGGCTCAGGGGTCCCAACGGGGAACGGAAGCCGGTCCACTCTTACGCTCCAGTGCTCGCTATCCACTATCCGTGAGGGTTGATCTCGAAATCCAGTCCCTCGGTGCTTTAGGGCCTAGACCCCATCCCCACCCTAACACCCGTGCCGTTACCATGTCCTGAACTCTAAAGAAGGCTCCTGGGCAGCAGACCCCGCTGAGGCGACACCTATGCGCTAGGTACACAAACATAAACATTGCGCCATCGGGGTCACGTGCCGAGTCAGGAACATTCTGCGGTTCCTTGTTCTACTGGGGTTTTCACCCGCTGCCCTGTGCTGTTGCTCTGTAGATAAGATCAACAGACGCAACTTCTGCATTTGCCTCGCCTGTGTGGCCACACATCCTCAAACTTTCTGCCCATGTTCTACAAACGTTCAGGACACTGTGTGCTTTCTTTCTTTTTTAAAAGGGTCTTTTTTTTTTTTTTTTCTAAACGAACAGTGGTCGAGGACAGCAAAGGTATCTCATATCATGGCAACACCCTCCTTGTATTTAAAAAAAAGGAAAAGGAAAAAAAGAGGAGGGGGAGAAAAAAAATGCTTTATTTGTTTATACTACTTATTCAACTGAGGAACTCAACATATTTTATGCATTGAATCACACAATGTTACAGCTGCTGACTTTTCTCTGCATACCAACATGGTTTGTCTTATTTTTCTTTCTTTTTTTTTTAAACCAAGAGTTTTCACGATACTTGTTGTTGTGAAGTGCCATCAAGCCAGTTCTGATTCATAGTGACTCTATGTAGGGTTTCCAAGGAACAGTTGGTGAGTTTGAACCACTGATCTTGCAGTTAACAGTCCATTGCTTATCCTACAGCACCACACCAGGGGTCCATTCATTATACTTACCCCTACTCAATTTTTTAAAAATAAACTTTAAAAAATATAAATGGTAGTGTCACAACTGGGTGTCTGTTGGCCCCATTGGATTTTTTTATCATCCTTTGCTGGGAAGTGTATTTGAACTCTATTTCATCATTTTGCTGCTGGGAGATCCTAGGTGATCCTCTGAGTCCACATCTGTATATTGTTGTTGTTGTTAAGTGCCTTGGAGTCGGTTCTGACCCATAGTGACCCTGAACAGGGTTCCCGAGGCTGTAAATCTTTACAGGAGCAGAAAGCTTCATCTTTCTCCCGCTGAACAGCTGGTAGTTTCGAACTGCTGACCTTGCGGTTTGCAGCCAGATTTGTAACCACTACGCTACCAGAGCTCCTTATGGGTGTATTACTGCCTACTTTATGGATGGTTTGAGACCCAGATGAGAGATGGAACCCAGGCTCTACCCCCTAGAGCCTGAATCTTTTATGATTCATCCATGATCTTGGTTTTCCCCTTCTCCGCAGAGTATTTCTTATCTAATCATGCCATGGTACATTGCAGGGTCTGACACCAGAACCCAGGGAGAAGGTCACCACAAACCAGAAGCTAATGCGAAAAGACAGTAGATGTGGTTAGGAAAAAGGCCTTAGTATTCCTCCAGCTCAGGGAAAGGCCACCATTCCCTACAGCCAATGAACACACAGTGATTCAAGTCAAGGGGTCTATGCTGGTCACCTGCCCAGAGACAGATGGTAAAAGTGTAGCTACCTAGACACCCAAGAGAGGTCCAACATCATCTGGTCTATTGTAATCACAGAAGGGACAAAGGGCTGGAATTGGGGACTTGGCTGGCAAAGAGACACAAAGGAGATTGGTTCATGGATGCTGACTTGGAGAACAGAATGGAACATTTGACCTGGGCTTTTCCCAATTCTGGATGTGCTTAGAAATAAACCTGTGAGGGTTATTTGTGAAGTAGTGGGAAGGGTCTAGAATACTGAACCCAGTACTCCCATCTTTAATGTGTGGCCTCGGGTAAGTCACTTCACTTCTCTGAGACTCCTCCCTATGCTAGAGACAATAACATTTATCTCTAGAGGGTATGGAGAAACTCAGTGGAAGAATGTATGTTAAAGGGTGCAGTGGGATTGATACTTCCTACTCTCCTTGTCCAAATTCTGGATCACAGGAGAGGAAAAGTTGCATATCCCACAGAATATTGTCAGATCAGTCTCCAGATTCCTCAAAACTTCATGCAGCCGAGCATTAATAACAATCAGACAGTGACTCCAGACTACTGTTATATGACCTTGGACAAGTGGCTTAACGTTTTTGAGCCTCAGTTTTCCCACTTGCAAACTGGGAATAATATCCATCTGTTGATATTAGTGGAGCCCTAATGGCATGGTGGGTTAAGCATTGGACTGCTAACTGTAAGGCTGGTGGTTCAAATTCATTCATCTCTCTGAGGGGAAAAGATGAGGCTGCTCCCGTTAAGATTTACAGTCTTGGAAACCTTATGGAACAATTCTACTATCAGTTGGAATTGACTTGACGGCAATGGGTTGTTGTTAGTTGCCATCTAGTCAGCTCAGACGCCTGGCAACCTCATGGACGATAGAACGTGTTGCCTGGTGCTTCATTGTCTCCAAGATTGCCAGTGTGCTCAAGCCCATGGTTGTGACCACTGTGTATTTTGAGTATCTTCCAATCTCAGGTACTCATCTCCCAGGACTGCATCAGATAAATGCTCTTGTAGTCAAAGGATTTTCATTGACTCATCTGCAGAAGCAGATCGCTACACCTTTCTTCCTAGGCTGTCTTAGTTTGGAAGTTCCACTGAAACCAGTCCAGCATGGGTGACCCTACTGGTATTTGACATGCTGTGTGTGGCATAGCTTCCAGCATTACAGCAACATGCAAGCCACCAAAGTATGACAAACTGACAGCTGGGCGATGGAACACCCATCGAGGAGTAAACATGACAGTGTGCAATAAAGGAGCTACTTACTATGTGTCTTGCTGTGTGAGAGTGCAAGATAATGCATTAGAATGCAAGGTCATTTTAAACCTCAAGGTTGGTGGTTCAAATTTACCAGTTGCTCCTTGAAAACCGTATACAGGGTCGCTATGAGTCAGAACCAACTCAACAGCACTTAATAACAAATGTGTCTTGCTCAGTGGCACCGTAGGATAAAGCACTGGGCCTCAAGGTCAATTTGAACCACAAGGTCTGTGGCTCAAGCTCACCAACCACTACTTGAAAACCCTATACAGCGTCACTATGATTCAGAATTGACTTGATGGCACATAACAACAACGACATGTGTCTTACTCATAGGGGTATTCTCAGGAGAGGGAACTGGATCCCATGAGCTCCTGTTTTCTCTTTCCCTTTTATTGCCTCCCTTCAGCTACATGGTGGTCCCTTCTTTTGCTCAGCACCCTCCTATGACTCCTTTCGTACCAAATGCAAAGCCCACCCTCCTCTCGACCATCACCTGACAATTTAGGTGGGCCTGCATTTCTGTAAGGTTTCTCGTCCTCTCTCAGCCCCACACCTTTGCTCGCACTGCTTCCCCTCCCCCCCCACCATGCTGTCTCCCTTCATCTATACCACAATCTTCCTTATAAATGAGCCAGCGCAAGGGTCTTTTCCATGACATCTCCATGGGCCCCAGAGGACCTTGTCCAAACATTCTGGTTGTATGAAAGCCACTTTGATCTTTGTCTTATTCTTCCGGAGACAGGGCCTGTGTTTTTCTCATCTTTGCACTTCTACCTCACCCCTCACCCCAACTGCCCATGATGCAATACGTGGTACATAGTACAGCCACAACTTGTGGAATGGTGGAAGAAGTTTTTTTTAAAGTGTCAGAAGAAAGGTGAAAGAAAATACATCACAGGTGCTTTTTCACCTTTTCCTTATCAATGACCCTGGGACGTAACTACTCAGAAGAGACTGCCAAGGTCACACAGCTGGTGGTCATCACTTGCAGATTCAAACCCAGAGTCTAATTCAAGAGACAGAACTGGATCTGTGCATCTGACCATGCTGAGCCCCAGTCTATGAACCTCTG